TAAATTAGAATGGCAGCTGGCCAGCCAGCAGCCAGTCTGAGCCATTTCAGGCAATCCAGAAAAATATACACCAGATGCACGTTGGTTTCTAAAGAGTAATTTAAATACATTAGTAAATCAATGGCATTGACAGTTTGATGGACTATGATGAAGGAGTCTTCCTCTGAAATATCGTCTCCAAAACCTGCAAAGCTCTGGCAACTGAGTTGTTACAACTTTATCATATTTTTAACTTTCATCTTTTCAAAAAACTTCTAGATTGGGGTTGTTTCAGCTTAAATTTACATGGATTTCTCCCCTGCTGAATTGGCCCCTAACTTTTCATGGTTCCTAAATGTCAAAGAGTGTTGTCCTTCTGCACTGTGGAGGGCCAGGAGGTGCCAGTGAGAGGACTGAGGACCAGCTCTGCTCTCATGAAGTTTGGGTCTGTCAGAAAGAAGCTGGCTACCACTATTGAGTAGAAGCAGCAAATTCTTTCTGTCTTTTTACCTGACTGGCATGTGCTTACAGCCAGGGGGATGTTAAAACCCCCCGATGTAAAAATAAAAGGAAACAGTTGAAAAATTGACCCAAAAAAGTAATAAAAAAATGATGGGGTTTGCCCCAGGAAGTACATCCGAGGGTCACATTAAATGATCACATCATTCAGCACCAAGGCACGACTCCTCTGCAGGTCTGACCTCCAGCAATCCCAAGGATTGCCATGGGAAGGGGTCACAAGTCTCCAGCAGAGCTGTGGGTTTGTCCAGCCTGTCAGCCCAGAGCTATTCGTGATGGGACTTGTGTCAGACTGTGCTTGGCCATTCCAAGGGATTTAATTGGCACTTACAGAAACAAAAACTTTCTGGTTTAAGCACATTTGGGGAGTTACCTTACTGTCTTCGTCAGTAATAAACTGTTCTTGGCTAAGGTCATCTTTCATCTGCACAGTAAATAAAACTGTCACTAAAGCTGAGTTTCTGTTTCTCATCAATCAAATAATACAATAAAACTCAGAGCACAGAACTTAACCAACAATTTTTATAGAAAAGGCAAACCTTAAGGAAGTTTTGTTATAATCATTTCTTCTCAGCTGATCAACACAACAGACACAGTAATTTAGGTGGAAAAATGTGATATTAAATCTTAGAAGCCTGATAATCACATTGCCTTTAGAAGCAAAAATCAAGCTAGCTTTCCAGGCCTCATCATAACCATTAATTAAATACTTAGCACCTCTTCAGTTAACATCCAAAGAACATTTAAGCAACAACCCAGCCGTTTCAAGAAAAAACAACCCACTCTAGCTTATCTATTTAATTCCAGTTCTATTATGTATGTAGTTTTACTGCTATCAAGGAACATTTCTCATGTTTGTAAGAAGGAATTCAACTGGAAATATTAAAATATGTTCAACATGATGCTTATTTTTATCTAGAGGAAGATAAATTATTGTACGTACACAAGCACTAAAAGCAGTTGCCAGAGAAAATAGGATTTATTCTCACCACACCTGCAATATTTCAGCCACTACATGAAAATATTTCTCTTTCTGAAACAATTAGCCTAATTTGTAGTGAGCTCACACAGACTTTCACAGTACTACTCTGCTGAAGATTATTACTTGCCTAAAATATGATGCTTACATTTTTTCAGTATATTAACAAATAGCATTGTTTGTGAGAAGACCAGGCAGAAATATTACACCCCACACTCTGCTATTCTCCCAAACCCCAGATAATCCCACTCCAGTCAAAACAAATGATTCAGGTTGCCAAAACAAGTAGTTACATTTCCCAATCTTCTGATAAGGTTTTACGTAAATGCAGAAGCAAATCTGGCACAGTCTGGAACCAGGGCAGGGCAGATCTCTCCCAGCACATTCCACTTTTCAAAACCCAGCACATCAGCAGAGCCTTCATAACACAAGATGCACACCTTGATCTCTGCAGGGCTTAGGAGGTTGTGGGGTTTGCTTGTTTACAATTTTCAGACAGATGGAATCTCGGTTTTTCTTATTATAATATAAAGGATAGATAACAGTGCATGGAAAATGCTAGAAAAACCCTGATGCCAGGTCCATCTCACCACATCTGCTGACATAATTTAGAATTTATTTCCATGGTGTGGAAAATGCAATTTTTATTTATTTTTTTTTTTAGGTTGTTTTTTGAATCCTCACTCCCAAGCAGTCAACGGATCTTCCATTAGTCCTGGCTGCCTTTTGGGGTGTTCAGCTGCCCCCCAGCCTCAGGGACCTTTGTGCCACAGCCTTGCAGCCCCTGCTGGAGCTCTCTGCCAGGGCAGCTGTGGGGGATGCACATTGCCTTGGGGCACTGAGTTCTTCACAAACCACCCTCCAAAACAACTGCATTCAGCAGTACATCCCAAACCCTTGTGCCTTGTGAGGTCCAGCCACTGCCCACTGCACACCAAAGGTCTTGACTGACCCTCTCAACTCCAAATCCATGGAGTTTTCAATTCCTTCACCTCCTGTTTCGCTGAGGAGAGAACAGCTTGTCCTATTTCTTGTGAAAAGAGTGCCAAAGATAGGAATATTTATAAGGAATTTGTATCTATCTATCCAAACCAAAACATTCAAAAATCATGACTCACAATCCCCTCCCAAATCATGGGATTAAATTAACATATCATGGGATTTTAAAAGATGCTGTTTGAAAAATTATGGAATACATCAATTTTGTTTGTCACGCATTACCTTAAAATATTTACACAGCCAGAAACTACAAATTTTTATCAACAGTTAAAAGAACCAGAAGCTTACCTAGGGAAAAAAAAATCATCACATATTCATAAGATTCCTGGAGGCTGGACCTTTAAAAATAGTCCAAGTGTTACAATTCATCACATGTAAATTTATGGGATTTGGCAACAATGCATTTGTCTCCAGGGATGTTGGAAAGAAGGGGAGTGCTCTTGGTTAACCTTTTTTTTTTTTTTTTTAATAGATACAGCATGCTGAAAGTGCCCTACTAAGTATTTCCCAACTCTGCCCATCAATCAGTTTATGGAAACACACAGCAGAATGTGCTTATCAATGCCCAATCACTAAATATTTTGGTGTTTGTTAACTAAAACTCAATGCATTCTGGAAAAAGACCAAGTAGAAAATAAAATTACAATTTCTGAAAGCATATCCTGTCCATGCCTTTTGCCTAGAGCAATCAGAGGTAAGAAGACAGGTTTAATAAAAAAAAAAAAATGTAGAGAACAAACCACGTTTGAGTGGTTGTTCACTTTTTTTATTAAAGGCAAAGACAATTTCATGGAAAAAAATCACCTTTGCCCTACAGTTTTTATTTTTACTGATTTTTGGTAACAGTGGGGGTTTTTTCCAAAATAAAAGCTAAGTTTCCAAACCAAAAAGTGATGGTGTAGAAGGGAAGATTAATACCCTTGGCATTTTTTCCTTAGTTTAAAAATTTGAACTATCACAACTATTCCTACCTGTCCCCAACACCTGCTGTACCAGACAAGGTCACTGCTACTTCCTTCTGCTTTTCAATCCCACAGTGCTGGCTGGTGGCTGTGATTACTTTGTGCCTTTTTGCCACAGTTTACACGCTCCAGCCCTGACACAGGGGAGGTGACAGACACCAAGTCTGGTGGCATCAGACACGGCGTGTGGCTTTGCTGCCAGGTCCAGGCTGCATCTCAGCCGCTGCTGACAGAGCCTCCTCCAGCAGGTACCAGGTGCCAGTAACTGGAGCTGATCTACAGTTTGTGCTTTTCTGTGTACCAGACTCCTACTCCTGAGGAATATTTACCATCCAAAACCAAAAATACTGCCATAAGGTGTGAACAACATCAAGTCTCTTTTGTTTAAGAGGAAACACAGCGAGCGGATGGTGTTTTCCAACATGCAATAATTTTATAAACATCCACTAATAGAGCAACTTCCACCATACCTACCATCCAACCCTTCTGGGACTGTGGCACTCAGACTCCTGCATTACCCAGATGTGCTCCACAGTGAGTACAAAGGCAACAACAAGTACTCAGCCAAGCACTGTGTCAGTCACAAAATCCACAGGTCATTTCCAAAGTGGAGAAAAAAAGTTGGTTGAATGCTATTGCTTACTTTTTTTTTTTAAATCTGTGTTCCAACATGAACAGTGAGAAGTTTATATTGTTCATGTGGCCCTAATTTCAGTGCCTTATCCCTATGGCCCTCTGTTTCTTCCTTCCTATACTTGAAACCCCGTTATACTGAAATAAGATAATACTAGGGTATGAGTGACAAACAACTCTGCAGTTTGGTACACACATTTGGAACAAAAATGTAGCTATTTTGTTGTTTCCACTCAAATGACCCAGTTAATTTCAGTGTTAACATCAGCTGTCAAAACATCCTCTTAGCAGATTTGCATCCCTTATTTATTCAGAAAAAAAGGTGCAATAACCAGGCAGTTATCAGAGAAACAGAAAACACTACACAGAATGGGTGTTTATATTTAATTCTTGTTATTCCATCACTGTCTATCACATACTTAGTACATTATATTCCACACTTGGCAACACATAAATAAATCCAGAAAGTTTGTGTTCATACTGGAGACACCATTATTTTCCTTTTGGGACTAATGCAGCCCAGTGAAGACACTGCCAATAAAGCCCATGTGCCATGTCAGCCTCAGTGTCCTGCTTGCAGCCTTCCAACACAGCCTTTGCAAAGGCAGCACTGCCAGCTGTCCCAGCAGCCACAGCCACCTCTGCACTGCTGTCACCCACCATCCCCTTCCTCTGCTCTGACCCAGGGCATGGGGGGACACACGACTTCACGTTGGCCATCTCTGGAGCCAAGGAAACTCCTCAAGGCAAAGACAGTGCCACCATCCCAGAGATGGTTTTGGCTGCTGCAATGTTTGCTTAGCCCATAGGAAATGTTCAACCCGTTGCCTACTTTTCCCTCCTTGGAGAGAGAGCACATTTGCGCTCTGAAGGATAAAAAAGCCAGAGGCAGCAGATCACATTGCACCTGGTCCCAGAGCCCGCCTTACCTTTGTACACAGTGTCCACATTCTCACTGGGAAGCTGCTTCCTGGCAGCAGCTCTGCGATAGACCACGTGTGTTCTGCCTGCTCCTTCTTCCTCCTCCTGGGCCCCCCTCTCCAGAGGCTCGATGAAGAACTCGTCCTTGTCCGTGCGGATCATGCCAGCCTGCAGCACAGGGCAGAGATGGAACGCTTCGCATTACTGCTCCTACAGCAGGCACTGCCAGCAAACAGTTACAATATGCTTAAGCACACTTTAGTGCTCTCTAGAGAGCAATTAGGATGCAGAGAGGAAACCAGGTGAATTCTTTATTAGAGCAAAACAAAGCATCATTTTCCCAACTTGACAAGAAAGGACAAAAGGTACAACTCTGAACCAAAAGGATTTCTCCTTGAGCCACAAAAGCCAAGTACAGGTCTAAGAATCTGTCTAGGAAATCACCCTCTCCATTAAAAAACATCTACAATGGAAGTTACTATGACCTTATCCATCAGGCCCAGACCACCCCAGTGTTCACTATTTCTGCTAAATAAAGGATCAGATCAGTGCCATAAGCTGGTTCTGATGTGCACTTCAACAGTCAAAAGTTGTAGAGTCAGCTTTTCTGTCCAAAAGCAAGATAGAAAAATACTGTATCTTACTTTCAGGCAGCTAAGCTTTGTGATTATTTCCCCTGTGACACAAAGCCAACAAAATAATCTTTCAAGAATTAGCCACAACTAGTTTGAGTGTCAGCAGTGCACTTAAAAAATAACCCAACTTATTCAGACTGGACCAGATACCCTGGTATGAAAATAGAAATTTGCACTTCTACAAAGCACTCCAAAGGAACATCATCCAAGCAATTCTCATTGTGTTCACGGGAAACCCTCATAAAGACTGAAAACTTTAAAAAAGAAAAGGACTTTCCATCATCTTTATGCAGGTGAAACAACTTGGGCACCTGGATCACCTGGGCTTGTCTCCTCTTGCAGTCCTGCCCAACTGCAGGAGGTCCCAGCAGCCAAGAACTGCTTGCAGAGATGGTTGGCTTGAATCAATTTTTTCTGCATGTTTGCACATTGTATTTGAGGACTTCAGCTACTGAACTCTCAGCTTGCAGACAAAGTCTTACTATTAACACAAATTAATTGGTCCAGATCCAGCCTTCAGAAGCTCCTTCATCACATTTTTTCCCACTCTGCCCAGAGATGATCCTGGAGACACTGCAGTTTCAAACTTGCACTGTGACACTCTCCATCTTGCTATCTGAGCTTCTGGCAGCCTAAATCCCCTGTTCAGTGAAGCCTTGCCTCAAGCTTCCAGGGGAACCAGTTTGGCTCCTTTGAACCCAGTATCCTCACTTAAAACAAGCACATCTAAACACACTTATCATATTCCAGCACCAAAGTTCTCATACAGCACATATTTTTCTTCTACAAGCAACAAACTACATTCCTACTGCTATAAATACAGTATGTTCACTGGTTCCCTCCTTGGAAAAATGTCAGGTTCATTTGTCATGTCTTAACTTACATTAGGCAAGATTTCCAGTCCCAGAATTCGTATATATAATGTATACAAAAACAGATTGGAGAGGAAGGATTAAAGAAGCAAAATTATATCAAAGCAATTTAAGCTGATGCCATCCTGCCTGTATAGAGGAAACTGAATTTGAAATCCTGTTTCTTCTTAACTAATTTACATTCTACATCAGTCACAGAAAAGGTGAGACAGGATCAGCAACTCAAGGAATCCAAGACAACCAAGAAAATAAGCGCTGAACCCAAAGAGACAGCAACTGATCTTTTACTGTAAAGGGGAATACATGAAAAATTCAGACTTGATGTTACTCTCCTTTTAAAGTTATTCTAACTACATTACACACACAGTTCTTCTGGACATTAAATATTATATCCAGAAATTTGTAAATCTTTTTATGATAAATGCACAACTAAACATCAAGAGGGAACAAGCATTTGCAAGTTCAACAGCACAGGGTGCAGTGCACACCCATACTACACCTGGGAGAAATACACTGAGAGCTTGACTGTCATGTGAAAAATATGTGATTTTGGTTTTTGCAAGTGAAAAAAGCACCATGGTTGTGCACATGTTCTTATGTATTTTTGGATACATTAAGCCTAATATTAACTAAGCAGCTAATGCCAGAACATAGTTTGGAATGCAGACCATAATTCAGGATCCAGGGGGAAATGCTGCTGTACACTGTGTGCAGCAGGGAGTACTGATGGGAGTTTGGAGGAATTTAGATCTTCTAAGAAAATGAACAGAGAAACAATGTCTGCAATCAGTAGTTGAACTGATTGGACAGAGGAACAACTCTTATAGGTGAGCTTTAGCTTCCAGGGTACGATGGCCTTTTGGAAATGAAAACTGTTGGTCAGAGTGAATTCTCCTCTCTGAGAAGATGAAGGTGACACCCTGGGACAGGCTGTAAGACTAAGCAGAAAGGGATATTTGAATGCTGGATCCCAAGACATAAAACAGTGCTTAAACACTGACATTTTCTGCAGATCATTGTGCCTGGTATTGGCCCTTTTTTTGTGCTGGGAGATTCATGTGGCCCTGGAAGCTGCCAAAGAGCAGGACAACATCAGGTGCTCTCATTCCCCACTCTTGCTTCTTGGATGGACATCACACCCCATGGCAGCATCCCCCCTGCTTCTGTAGGGGTGTAGAAAGAAAGGCATTTGACCTTCAAACACAGAATCATAGAATCTCCTGAGCTGGAAGGGCCTCCCAGGACCATCAAAGCCCAACTCCTGGCTGCATGGCTGAACGTTCTTTTTCTCATTTTAATCTTGGACTACACTGAAATTTCTCTTTTCTTTTAGTGCTGAGACAACCCTCAATTATTTTTTATCAGAATTATTAGGAAAGAATGTATGTTTGAACTGTAAAATAATTTTATATTTTTGCATACTGCATGTCCTACACAGTCTTTGATTTAGCCAACATATTGTCATGAAATAAAATAAAATAAGGAGGAGGAGAATGGCTGTTTCAGACTTTAAGAAGAAATTTCATTTAGATGGCAAGGCAGAGTTCCTACAGCAATCCACATCTCAAGTCATCTGCCTAATAATATGACCACAGCTATAAATGATTCATTAAGAAATATGTGGGGCTCCTGAAAGTCTCCACCACATATTTCCTTACTGCTTTGAGCAAGACATTTAACCTCTTTACTTCCATTTCTCCACCTCTGAACCAGCATAACAACAGTCTTGCAGGATAATTGCAAGGCCTGATTTGGGTTTTTTTTTTTTTTTTGGCCAAAATGCTTTGAACATGAAAAGCTCAAGATGAATTGCCTAATGCATTTTTTTTCTGATTCTACTCAGAACACCCTCAAAAAGCCACCATGAAAGGGAGATTGCTTTTAGTCATCAACTCAACAGCAGTGTTGGGCACAGCCAAGCAAGCAATAGGGCAGCAAACAAGGCAGCAGAGGTTTGCCCACATCCTTCACCTTCACCCTTCACCAGTCCTGTTCTTTTCCACAGCTGCCATCACCCCTGTGCCAGCCCGTCATGCCAAGACCACTGTCAGACAACCACCAAGCTTGTGATGACAACAGAGAGCATTCATGTTCCTCCAATTTCCTGCAGAATGCCTCTGGATGACTAAGATAGAAATGCTGTATTGTTTGAGGACACCTGTGCCTTCCCTTGGACTGGAAGGGCTTCAGAAAATCCTTGCACAGTCATCATCTGGGCATTTACTCCACAAGATGTTTTTCTGTCCTATACTGCTCACCACCCATCCCAGGAATGTTGTACTTCCAGGCATTATGGATTAGCAGTGATCACCCTGCACGACCACCCTGCAGCCATATACACACTGTGCAATCCATAACCAGGCACGGAATTGCTCATCTCCATGGAAAGGAAGTCCAGTTCCTGAAAAGTTGCTAAGCCCTTACCTCTTCCTCTCCTCTTCCGGGACTTTTAGCTTGAAACTAAGCTGAATATAGGAATATTGATGATGGCAGCTGTGATTGTGTCCTGTGACTAATGAAAATACAAATTAATAGAAAAAGTGTTTGCCTTTGAAATACACCAAATTGTAGCAAAGAGCCTACAATATCCCACTATTTCCCCAAGCGGGACATCCCCAGGCCTTCCTTGCAAGGGCTTTCAGATCCCAGCTGCAAATTACTCAAGTCAAGCACTGCTTGGCACTCATTAATATGCATTAAAGACTAGAGCAGAAAACACTTAATCAAAAGGAAATGGCAGTTCAGAGAATCAAAACCTCTGCTAAGGTTAGCAAGGCGGTTATTTAGAAGTGAAAGCCACACAGAAAAAAATTCACAAGGAAGACTGAGAGTGAATGTCCTGTCTAATTATCACACGAATTACACTGACAAGCTACAAATGAGTCCATTTGTGGATCACATGGAGTTGGGGTCTAGAGTTCCACTAATCACTTTTGAGGGTAACAGGGCTTCTGCAAATCCCTGGAGACCTCCTCCCAGGGCCTTCAAGGACCACAGGATCTACATGTACAATGGCCACAGCCACATGGGCTTTCTGCCCAGGTCAGTGACACTAATCCCATCCCACATGATGGAGATCTCCTCTCCAGCCCAGGAGACCTGCCTGAGCTTTGCCACCACAGCACAGAGCTCAGCTGAACAGCAGGTTTCTTCCCATGTCTCCTCAACACCCCCAGCCCCTCCTGCATTTCCAAAGACATTCTTCAGAAGCCTAATTTGACAGAAAAACTGCCTGGCATATTTAGATCTACAGAAAACTCCAGGTTTTGGAGCGTTAGCTCCTGTGGATAATTAAATGTCTCTCTGGCTCTGCACTTGGTGAGCGACTTAATTGTCTCCTCATTGCATTCAGCTCACAGCTCCTTGTTCTGGGCTGTAATGAAGTAACCCATCCAGCGGCTGCTTCAGGACTCCAGAGCCTCAGCCCATCCTGAAACCAGGAGTTTAATTAATGCTCATTTTCTTCCTCATTAGTACAGACTTACAAAGCTTCTTATTGCCATAAAAAGACAGATTTATGTCCCAATCTTCGAGCACATGGTACAGATAGGAAGATAAAATTAAATGCAAACAAACCTGAAATTAATATTTTTTTTAAATCCACATAACTGGTTAACTAATTAAATCAATAACCTAGAAAAATAGTGTTTCAGAAACTCTT